TGTCGGATTCACACAGCACTTTTTTCGGATCAATCATCGAGACATTATTAATTTTGACCATGGTTTTGGTCAGTTGATGTAATGTCTCGATGATTGATCCGAAAAAAGTGCTGTGTGAATCCGACAAACCAAGTTGGCTCACAGTTTTTCAATGTTCATATCGAAAAGACGTTATATATTGCCAGTCACGGTCGATTTAAATTACTTTAATTGTTATTCTATATACTGGCGAAAGAAATTTATTATTCTGTTTATTATACACCGTCGACCTAGTAATCGGTGCTCCATCTTATAGTTGTTATTGCGATGAATATTACCACAGCCTCAGTGGTCGAATTGGCACGACGCCCGCACGGTATACGGGAGGTTCCAGGTTCAAACCCTGGCTGGGGTAATATTTTTCGCAATAAAATTTAAAAACTATTTAATTTAGAAATTACATCAACTGACCAAAACCATGGTCAAAATTAATAATGTCTCGATGATTGATCCGAAAAAAGTGCTGTGTGAATCCGACAAACCAAGTTGGCTCACAGTTTTTCAATGTTCATATCGAAAAGACGTTATATATTGCCAGTCACGGTCGATTTAAATTACTTTAATTGTTATTCTATATACTGGCAAAAGTTGAAAGGTTTGAAGGGGGCCAATAGACAGATATCTTATTGGATTTTGGATCCAGGACCTGTATTGAGCTCAATAGGGCCTAAGTCAAATTTTTTAAATAAAAACCCCTATTTTTTATTGTACCATCTTTCTATATAATACTTTTATATAATATATAATACTTTTTGAGATATTCAAGGAAAACTTGGTAACTTTTTCAATATATATTTAGCTTGTGATATCTTGATGATTGTTCAGGGGCGTAACCCCACTCTTTTTACAAAGAAGGCTGATTCTTAAGAGAGGGGGACTGGCATCAACGGCCAAGCAAGCAAAAAAATGCACTATAGCGTTTTTGGTATAACCAAATTAAAGCGTACAATTTTTTTCGTATTATTATATATTATTATTGCACATATTATTATTATTTGTACCGTAATTTAAAATATGCATATATATATATATATATATATATATATATGGGGCATTCTTTCTCAAATCGGCCACCCCTCTGCGCATTTTATTTTTGAAGATAAAATGCTTTGCGAGGTCTCAAAATTTTCGTCTGAAACTCAATTTTTGGATGCCGTATGGCGATTTTCATTTACATTCAAGGGTGGGACAGTATGACCAAAATATCGCTCAAACCACCCTAAAAAATAGGAAAGTATGCAAATAACATCTAAAATCTTAGCAGTTTCTATCAAATTCGATGCAACTTTGAAACAAAATGGTTATTATAACATGGTTATTTATAACATCCAATTAAATAGTTTTCAGACGTTACCCCCCATTATAATCAAAATCAACCCTTCAAAACCACCCCTGATACATTAT